TTGTTTTAATTTATGTTGTCAAAGAAATTAGTATTCTGGTATAGAACTGTGACATGGTCAGAATACGATTCCCTACAAAAACACTTGGCTAAACCGTTTTCTGGATGACGTCAAGTGTCGTATACATTTTGTATATTAGGCGACTTACGAATAGATGTTAGAATATGAACGATTAACGTAAATCACAGCATGAAAAACTAACGAAATCGTGAAATCATTCAATTGGATCACTTTTATAAAGATAACTGTTTGTTGGAAAGTATCAATTGACATTTTAGTAATTAAAGCCCGATTTTAATACAAGTTACAAGTTAGGATTATTAGTTTTTTGATCAGGTTAAATTATTCATGAGTGACTTGACTCCTAAAACATGGCGTTTGCATTGGAGAATTACGCTTTTAAGTTACCCATACAAAATGTATTTAAGCGTTTAATCGTCGGTGTAAGTTTTAGCGGGGGTGAAATGCAATTATTAAAAAGTTGTCGACGAGTTTGTGACATTTACTGGTCGATTTTCTGGTGCGACTCAATAATTTTCCTGGCCGCTGTTAAAAACTGTGTGACAGCCGCTCTTGGGTTGACATAACGGGTTAAAGGTACACAAACAAATTTAAAAAATCTCTTCTGGCGACGTTTCATTTTCATTTAAGAGTCTATTCAATTATGATGACCATGTTACAAACGTAATTGCTACGACCCTTTTGGGGAACGTTCAACGCATGCAGACCGACTCGTTGCGTTTAGGCAATTATGCCAATATTGAAACCGTTTTAGTGTTTCGTCCAACCAATTATCTCAAATTGATTTCTCGTTTTTTTAATACAAAATCTAATTAAAATAATAATTACTAGACAAAATAATTCTAATAATTTATAACTATACAATTTCGAAATTCGGAATATTATGTCGAAAAGTGCTTAATAGATATTCAAAAATAACATATTTTATAATAATTGTATAATGCGTTTTCTTTTAGATATGAGAATTGTTGTAGAGAGAGGGTGGGTAACTTTTATATCTCTTTTTATTACCATATTATTTTTTAGCAAACCAACTCTGTTAAGTTAATAATTTCTATTAATAAATGTAACAAAATCGCTATTAGTATTATTCAAGATAAAATAATACTATTTGAACAAATTAATATAACAGTTAATATTGTTTGTGAAGATATTTTAAAAACTGTTAAATTATAACATCATTATTATTACTTCCGTTAACATCAATATTAATTATTTATTCTTTTTATCATTGTGGCGGAGCTTATAATATGATTTTATTATTTTAAAAACTTGACATTTAAAATACTCATTTGGTTTTTTACTCATATTCATAGTACACCCAAAGAAAAACCCCAATCAATTTTGATAGGGAAATTTTATCAAGGGTTTATGATAATGTTTTATTAATACGAACAAAATAATTATTCTTATAAATAATTATTGTTCAAGACAAGAAAAAAAATTATCTAATTGATAAATATATCATAGGTTCAATAGTAATGATATATTTATCAAATTGAACAATGAATTTATTATACAGATCGAGGTTTTTCTCTGGGTGTATAGACGAAGAAAATTACTTAAATTGCTATCAAACTATAAGTTTTTGGCATATATACATAGTATATTATATGATGAGTTCCATAAAACATGTCACGTACATTTTTTTTATTTTTTGATATCATATGTTTTTAGAGTAACTGTAATCAGACACTTTTCATAAGAACTACTTGTTGTTAGTAATAAAAATATAATGTGCTAGGTATGTTGAAGAATGTTAATCGCGATGTTTTGCATTAAACGAGTGGAGTTAAAGCAAGAAAAAGTAATATTATTGACAATCAAGTAATTAATATGTTTGTTATTGTGTTAGTAATTAAAGTGATTTTGAAAAGATGGGCAAAAATTTTTTTTATTGAATGGGTACAAACAAAAAAATAATAAAATGTTTGACGTAGAGGTTGACGAATAAAGAAATAGATAATTGGAGAAGTTTTCGTACTAGACATTATTTAGAACTTTGTCATAGTCACTAACAAGAGTAGAACTGAAAGGAAGAGTATTTTATTTGGAATGTGTAGCAAATATAGGTTTCTGTAGTTGGCAGAGCGGAATTAAGATAAGTGGCACCCCTAGAAAACATGTAAACTCTGTTTTGTTCTAACCATTAATCCTACGCTGCTCATTTAATTTTTGAAAATAACCGAATTAACAAACGAAAACTTTTCCATGCAGAGTTTCGAATTTTCAGCTACTTTATTGGAGTATCTTGACGGAACAATTATTTGATTCTAAGACAAAAACTTTTTTTAATTTCTTTTCTTGGATGCTGAAATGTTTGTTGTTAGATGATTTATTACTTTTAGAAACTGATGTTATATCAGTTATTTTGTATTCCTTATCTTGGGCCTACCACACAATGATCAGTTCTTAACACAACACTGTTGGTTTATAATTGTTTATAATTTAGATTTATTGTCTTTAGTAAGTATAATAATAGTTTATTTATTTGAAAAACAATACTTATTATTAAGATTTACTTTATTATGGTAGTGGAGTAAGATTTTATGGATTCTTACCCTTAGTCATAAAGAACTAATAAATAATTTGTGATTGTTTTTATGTATTTTAGAGCATAATAAAAGAAGATACTTGTCACTTAAATTTAAACACTCGAGATACTCTGTTTTTTGGTTATCGTGGTGTGGAACTCGGGTTAATTAATTAAAAAATTTCTACATGCTACTAGGGACATTATAGATTAAAATTATCTATTAAATATGAGATATACATTTTTTATAATGCAATAGCTCAAAATGTTAAACTAACCCAAGGAATCTATTTAAAAATAAGTTTTTAAATATGTAACGTGCAAAATGTAAAATATATTTTTATGGTATTTTTAAGTACCTGATGTTCACGATAAATTTAAATAAAATATTTTATATTCAAATTAATAGCTGACATCGTGAATTTTAATTTTTACTAATCTAATGGCCTAAGTGTATAGTGATTGATTTAAAAAAACTGTTTCGTAATTATTTTTTATTACAAAGTGTAAGGTATGAATTTAAAAGGAAAACTGTATAAGTTTTTGTCCCTTACTACAAGAAGTCATATATAAATTTCAGATAAATTCTAAAATAAAATCGCCACTTTGTATGTAATATTTTGTTTTCAAGCCATGTGTTATAATAATATCTTTGATCATTCGTCTGTATTCAACCTAATTTGTATGTAGACTATAAATATCACATTTTGCCTTATATGTCTTATTTAGAAATTTATGAAATCACGGATAATTTTATTTTACGACCTTTTGGCAAGTTTAATTATTTAATAATGATAAGAATTAGTTAATTGTCAAACTCATCGTGTTGGTCAAGTCATTTAATGTAAATTTGGATAATATGTATTTTCTTTAAAATTGCATTAAAAACGGTTAAAGAATAATCGATTAACGTTCTTTTCAAAGGTTAACAATTGGTTTGATTACATTTCTTAAGATGCGTGTAATTAGATACATATGAGTAATACCAGGTGGTTAGTGAAAAGTATTTTTAATAAAGATTTGCTGTAATTTGACTGTTATACATATAACCAAGTACATACTAGTAAAAATAAAAGAAATACATTTGCAATGTATTGCTAAAATTTATAAAACTATTGATCAATTTAATTTATTGATGAAAATGTAATGATCATAATCATTTTAAAAGATATATAATTATATACATATAAAAAAAATAATAGTGTTACATTGTTATTGATTTTAAGGGTGCTATTTATAAAAAAATAAAATAGATATGGGAAAATGTTGATATATTTTGAACTAGATTCTATTTAAATCAATCTTAGTACTGTAAAATACAAGAACTGGGGTTGTCTAATATTTTTATAAGTCAGTAATTATTGCTTTATTGATATTTTTATGAACAAATTTCCAAATGACAAGGGGTTTCGAAAAAATGCTAACAATTTTAGACAAAATAATCTCATTGACCATTTCAAGGAGCATTTTTATATAAAATTTATACTTATATCCACTTAATTTAATGATATTATAATTAAAATTTTTTTGAACATACAGAATAAAATATGACAATATAGTAAAAATACATTATTTGTTTCTATTTACAAAATTTGGAGTAAATTACATCTGTAAATTTTCGTAACTGTTGTTAGTGCAAAATGCACTTATTATAGTTATAAAAAGTGAAAATTGCCATTTTCCCGTGTTTTAGAATCGTTATCCAGTTCAACTATTTTATCTTCGATGCGAAGCTGAGAAGGTATTAATTTTATTATGATGTGTTTTTTTTTATTTAATTATTTATCACGAGAAATATTTTTAATGCTTTTACTACTGATCGATGCAAAACAACTAGTATGGCAAACATTATTTTATTCGTTGTGCTAATGCAAAAAGACGCAATAATGGAAATTTATGACTCTTCGTGTTTAATACCATAATCTTTTTTATTGTTATTCATCGATGCGCAGTGTGTTGTTTTATTGGTTTTGTTAATTGTTGTTTATTATGTACCTACCTATTTTTTATTTGTAATCTCATGATTTATTAAAAACATTAAGTTTGCGTATTATTATAGATTTTGTGCAGTATTTACATCGACCTCTCGTTTTAAAAGTTCTGCTGTATAATATAAAAATCTAAAAAATGTAAATATATAAAATTAGGCATTTCATTTTCAATAATGATAATTTAAATACATTTTGAAAAAAAAATGAAGCATATTAATTTATAATAATGATATTTATATTTTTTAAATCAATAAAAAATTAAAAAATAATTTGTAGTCGATTAATAACACTGCATAAAACAAAATTAGAAATATCAGACTTATAACACATTATAAGATTTTAAATAGAATTTAATGGTCGATTCCTAATCTGGATTTAGAATTTTCAGATCGATTCTAGTTTTTGAGATAATTGCTAATTAGTCAAAATCAGATATTTATGTAATTAATTGCTCATTGAAAAAAATATATATTTTATGTTTATCGTATTTTATTCATTATTAGTGTACAACTCAATTTTTTTTTACTTATCAGTTACATATGTTTCGGTACCCGGATTTTATTTTCATAATAAAGACATTTAATAATATCATAAAGTCCATAAATAAGTCTAATAATTAAAATTAAACAACAAAACCAATTTAATTTACAAATTCAAACAAAAAAAAAGAAACTTTAAGTATTACATTATATTACAAATCATAAAAAAAAATTATTATTATTAACCTTATCTAAATAAAAATTTAAAGAAAACAAAATTATAGACTTAATTACATAATTTTGTATCAAATGATCGTTGAGACGTTGACAGTTGATGTACGACAAAATCTCGTGACTAAATAGTCACTTTACCATGTTTAGATGGGATGATCTCAAACAAAAGACCGTTATCCTTACCTTCTGTCTGTTGAAGATAGAATACGTAAGAAAATGAGTTTGTTATTAATTTAATTTAAAGGAAATTTATTAAAAAAAAGTTTAACTTAATACGAGGCAAAAAACCGAATGGTCAAAAAGCTCGTCAGTAAATCAAAGGGAACAGAGAATAAAATAAAAACAAACATAAGTCATAAACAAAAAAAAATTTACACCAACAACTTTTTACGATATAAATGCAATGAACGCCTCCGATCATTATCGAATAGCATTAAACATGGTAACCGCAATTCTAGCCGACCGTATGCCCCAAGTTGACGAACTATTTTTTTATACTTCAATCATTACATGTAAGACACTACGGGTTAAAGAACGTATTCATATTATATTGTAGAATATTCACCACCAATAATAAATAAATAATGAGTAAAACGGAGGAATGGTTTTAGAACGCATCTCTCACTATTGGATATCTGAAATTTCTATAAAATACCTATCCATGACAGTTGGTCTTATATCATGTCTGTCATGTTGAAAGACCGAAAAAATAATAGGGGCACCAAAACAAAAAAACCCCGTAACACGTGCATATGGTATGGTGCACTAGAAATGATATAAAAAATAATTTGGCTCAATAAAATACTTTACCAGCCCCGAAGAGCTAAGAAACTTGAGACATGTACAGCCGACGCCATAATTATAAAAAAATTTACATGGTATCGGACATTCACAAAAATAAATTGTACTTCACAAAAACGTTTTAGCGCACACAACAACAAAAATTCGCTATAAATAAATAAACATAACCAGTTTAATTTGGCTATTCTCCGACAACCGGCTTATCGAATCGGTTATAACAGAGGCGTCTAGGAGTCTCTAACCTTTTAAAGGGGTTAAAATTAGTCGGAAATTACAGAAACTAAGATAACAAAATTATTGATCTACACTGAACAATGTAATAGACAGTGATACTTATGTGGCGTTCAGTGCAATGGTGAATTAGAAAGGGCGGAGAGTGAAGAACACACAATTTGACACCTGTCAACCTGTTCGTCATTGTAGCATTTATGACACAGATAAAGCACACAAACATATTACAAATTATTCATAATAAGAAAATCTTAAACGCCGTCACAATACGCTGTCGACTCAACCAAAATTATTTTAATATATATATAACCCTTATAAAATTTACTATCAGCCATAAAAAATTTCAATTATAGGTTTAAGTAAAATAAAGTATTTGGAAAAGTTCAGTTTTGAGTTTTATAAAATGACTATCAAAATCAAATTTGAATCCCGTGTGTAGTGGTTTAAACTTGAGATATAGATCTTAAATTTTGCAAGTACCTCTTCAATATAACCCATTAAAGTTTTAAATGTTTTTAGAATATATATATATATATATATATATATTATAACTTTTTGGTTAGACAGTGAGCTTTGGAATGTTATCATACATTTACAAAGGTTTTAATATTAATATGTAATTTTTTTCTGTAGAAATAAGTTATTCTTTAGATTTCGGTAAATCAAACAGTTTTGGTTAATGTTTCATAGGCAAAAGAAATAGTTGGTCGAAGAAAAGCCAAAATACATAAATTTTTCGAAGGAAAAAAACGCCTTAGCTAGGTGAATAATTTATGAAAACGAAATGCCAGCTTGTAGAGCTTTGTGCTCAGGTGCGACCTTTTTACAATGAATCTGCGCGCTCGGTGACGTATAGAACGGCGAGGAGTTTTCTAGGGGATGCGGAGAAACCGTTTGCACCAAGGAGGAGGCTTTTAAGGCGTTATTTACGACATGTTTTGCCCTCCTACCCATTCAGCCTTATTATTTATATATAACGCTACCCAGAGAGAGTGTGATGGTTGTTCTTTAACCCGTTATTTACCGCCGGACCTAACGGTCTGTTTATGTAGTAATAACCGTCCACATTTTCCACGCGTATACACAATAAGAATATAGGTCCGTTACAAAAATCTAAGGAAAAAAAATACACATAAATAAAATAAAATAAACGAGATTTGGTAGATTGTAACTCGTGTATAACCACTGAACTATCCAATAGTTTAAGTGCTGCGGGAAGTTTTGCAACATCTTTAAATCTTGAGTAAAATAGTATGTGCGCGTGGGAGAAAAATATCGTCAAGTGCCTCTTTGAGCGATCTAATACGACCTCACTGAATTGAAAAGAACTACTTGCGGTTCGGGGCGTAGTATTTTTGTCGTTCATTTCCTACGAGCTGAGATAGAGATAAAGAGAGTGAGAGAATATTGTCGGCAAGTAATAGAGGAGAAAAATGGAAAGAGAAGAGAAACCGCAGGGAGGAACGAAAAAAACGGTATTTCGCGAGGAAACACGGTTAAATTGGTTTTTTTTCTATTGCGTATTGATTTGTTTGCCAAACAGTCTTTCAGACGACGGATTAATGCAGCTCTCGGAATATTTTTGTCAATCGAAAGCATGTTATTGAATGTCCGAGGTGAGTGTACGAAAAGTTCAATACTCAATGCGTTTCATTCTAATTAAATGATCCGTTGGCTGTACTGCAAACGTCCAGTTGGAGTAAAAGTGAATTCAGCTTTCTTTAACGTGAACTCGGCCAGCTTATTCGATTGATTCGGTATTTTCAGTTTGAATAGAAATTAATGAATTAATCAGTCGGCCCTATTCATGATGTTACTTTTGCGTCAAGTTGTTCAAATTAGTTATCCTACGCAGAATATAAATTTGTATTACATGAAGTGTATGAATGTTATGTATTTTATATTGTTGGATTGTAGTGAATATATCAATTTGTCAAAAACAAGTTATTTCAAACGCGTTAACTTTTGCCATGTGGATTTGGTTTTTTATTTACCATTTTTAAATAATAAATTAACGATTTGATATTTTTTAAAACAAGTATTTAGGTAATTTAAAAAAGATGATCTTAAGATTACAATAAATATTTAAGTCTCTTTACTTCGAGGGGAGATTGACACTTGATAGCATTTTTAGTTCTTGACTTTTAAATCCACTTATAGCTCTCAAAAAATATTGACGAATATTGCTTTGAGTGGAATCTTTTTTTTTTTGGTATTTTGCTTCATATTCTGTTATGATTTGTTTTTTTTTTTGTAAAATAATTTTAATATTTTTATTAAATTTCGTGATTAATTAAAAAGAAAAAAAAACGGTGGAATTAAATGCTATTCATATATGAAAAAAACTTCAGCATCTTATTTTTTTTTTTACTTTTTCAAAATAGATTACGTATGCTGATATTGTAATGCATTATATAACAATCGTTAGTCTTTAAATTATTACACTTTAATGTACTCAATGTTTTTATGTGATATAATTTTTGTTAAAAAAAAAATGTCTGGTTCTCGTGAGTTTTAAATTACCCTTGTAATTGTTATGCAACGTCCGTGGCAGGATTAAAAGAAAGTTTTTCTTTGAACTTTGTCTTCTGCAATATCAAATTTTTACCTTTATAATCGATTAAGGTTGATTTTTTGGAGGTTGTATATTATTTCCTGAAGTCATGCGTGCAATGTTTTACTTGTAACTTGCAATCTAAGAAGTTTTTAAAGCTTCCTAGTTGAGAATAGAATTTTACAACTAAACGCAACAGTTCTTAATTTAAATATATCTCTGAAATAAAAAGAATAATTTAACGTAATGCCTTTCATTGCATAGTTAAATGAAAAAACAGTAAATTCATTACCCGGAAACTAACTATTTGCAATAAGTATTTTTTCAGCTGAAGCTTAAGAAGAAATAAAGAGGATCGATTTTAAAATTTAATTGATCCAGTTGATATAACCATATTGGTCTTGGCTTATAGTTAAACTGTCATACTTAATCGAAGTTTGCGTTTTCTCTAGATTCCTTTTAGTAAACCCGTTTTATTGTGATGCTAAAAAGTATACAGTTGTCGAAAATGACACCAAGTCGCGTCGTTTCGTCACTAGGGTTTGTTGATGCGATCACAGTTGCTTATTGTTACATGGATTTTTTTCTTTTTTGTGTTCATACTATCTGCGCTTGACACTGATGCATTGTGGCATGAAAGCGGTAGATTGTGCTCTTCCCGTGATAGACTAAAAAAATAAACTGAATTTTTTATTCATCGACAAACACTGAAAATGAGGTGGGTTGGACAGCGGGGGTGAAAAATGCCCGTAAACTAGAAAACAGCATGGGGTGCATGAAAAACAGCGTGGCCGCTGCAAATCATTTGAAACACGAACGAAAACTCAGAGCCAAATTAACGCTGTAAAGTTGAACCGTAGCCAAGGAAATATAAAGCCATGGGCGCCCTCAGTAAGAGGACTGGTAGAAGACCAGACTTTAGGGTCCGGCGGACTAGAGAGAAGTTTCGATTTATTACACTCGGAAGAGATAGTGCGCCGTTTTGAGAGCGACATCGGTATGGGATGATTGTTTGACCAGTACAATAATATTTTTATGATTAAAAACAAAAATGTAAATTATCTAAACAGCGAAGTCAGCGTTGCAGATTTAAATACATTTGTTTACGCATATGTACAAATATTACATGGTAGTAATAATAGGACTTTAGATATTTTTAAGTTAAACAATTAAAAGTACCGATGAGAATGTCCGCTAAAATTCGACTTAACAACGTCCGAAAGGTTATTACAACCACATGGCTCCTTGACTGTATCTACCTATATTTCAACTGTTTGTTGTAAGTTTTTAAGAAGTTGTTGTTGTTACAACCCACCCAATTAAAATAGGATTTATGTACTCAACACAGCTGGACCTGTGGTGGTTTATAGTACCTTTCAGGCCTTAATCTCGGTAACGGACTAACGAGAAAAACATTACTAATTGATTGGGTTTTAATGAGTTTTATAATTTTTTGTCCCTTTTTCTATTTAGTGTGTGTATTGTGGTACGAGTCGACACCTGTGGTTATTACAGGACTTAACGTAGGTGAACCCAGCCAAACAATTATTTTTAACGACAGCAATTTCGCGCCGGCGGCAATGACTGTTCAGGCGGTGATATAAAAATCAATACGTTATACTTTTTCTTTTTTTTCATTTTCTACAACATTGAAAACTGTCTCCCGAGAATCAGTGTCCTAAATCTCCCGATGGCGTTATATTTTAATTGAATCTTAATATAATTGAAAAAAACATATCTATCTAGGTAGGTATTAAAAGATGTCTAGGAGTTAACGTAAAAAAAATAGAGAGCTTAATAATAAGATTCATTAAAGTTAGTTTAGCATGAAAATAATTGATATTTAAAGTTCTCGATTAAACGAGTATTTTATCATAAGTAATTAATTTTTACGAAAGCTTTTCCTTACTTTTCAAAGAATTTGTATTGTTGTATTTTTGTTTTTCGGAGTTGTAAAAAAATTTGAAAAGTTCTCGTCACTAGTTGTAATTTGTTTGATTATCATGTCCGAACCTAAATCTTGGACAACTATACATTATATTTGACGAACAGGGATTATTATAGACTAGTCAGAGATAATTTTAGCTGTGCGTTGAATAAAAATGTATAATATATCCGGGTCGTCTGCGTATCGAGAAAAACGTGATCGGCAATCGCAATCGGAAGCCATTTTCGTTTAATGAATATTATTATTGCGTTTGTAATGTTTGTTTTCATTATCTACCAGCAATGGCGGTGGTAGGTGATGTTGGTTTCAGGAAATTGCCCGGAATCGCCTTGATTCTTTTGCGCTTGTCAGGTCCGTCTCACCTTCATGATACGTTTACAGCATACATACATGTATAATAATATGTAACTCAACGTTTTATACGAATTTATCTAACTCTTCTCAATCCCTCGTTTTCTACAAAGTCACGTTATTCATTCAATATAGTTGCCTACTCGATTAAATTTTGGACATGTTTTGATTTATTAAGTTTCTTTTTCATGAAAAAACTAAATTTAAAATCCCCATACCTATACATAAAATCAATAAGCAAATCAAATTAAACGTATGTACTTTTTTATTATTGTCGTGACCAAGTTCGTACGAGATAAAACAATTTCTATGCTTTTCTGAAATATAGTATTTATTTTTTCAGGTATAATATTTTTTTGAGAAAAACTTATTTTCAAATATATTAAGATGATTATTTTAGAAATTACACTTTACTTAAATTTGGAACTTTTGGCTCATAAGAATAAAGAATTTCGATAGAATTTTTATAATTATACTTTATTTTTTTGTTTAAAAAAAAAAATGTCTTAAATTCTTTTAAAATTTTATTATTGCACTTAGTACCTAAGTGATATCCTAAAAAGATATTATTCATTTAACCTAAAAGAATAAAATATTTTTCTAGATTTGTTTGGTATTCAAAAAGTTTTCTAAATTTTTAACTTCTCTTCTTTACTGCATATTTCAATTATTTTTAATTGCCAATGATATTTTACCATAGATTAACTATTATTTAATACTTGGTCTTGCTTGTATAAAATGAAGTTTTATTATATTGAACTGATGAAATTATTATAAATTAATCTTTCTTTAAAATATTTTGTGTACTTTTTTAAACAGAAATATTTAGTTTATTTTCTGAAAAAAAGAACGACAAACAATTTTTGATAACTTTTTTTTGGTTCTTATATTAAGTAAATAAAGATCATTACCTAAATTATAGGGATAACTAGTTATACCATTCAGCTTTCTGATAATGAGTGATTAAATAGTATAAAATCTTAAAATTAAAACTTATAATTTCATCAGAATTCTAACAAAATATTATATCTAAATTCCACCGAGTTTCTTTATGCTACTCTTTTATAATTTTAAAAATAAAGCTATTTTATATCCTTTTGAGACATGTCTTCTCAAGTTACTTTGGATGTTCATTTTTCAAATAAAATTTAATTTCAAGTTTATTTTATTGAGTTCAACTTGATTAAATCGATTTGCAGTAAACTTTGTTTTGTACTTCTATTTTAAGATTAGTAAATGAAAATCTAAATTTTCTATTTGATAAAATAGGGGATAAAATGATAAAATATAATCCAGAATAGTTGTTTTTTATTATTATTATTTTTTAATATCACCAGTATGACTTTTGTTATATCTAAGAAAAATCTTTTGTTTCATCAAATTTTCTATTCTTCTTTAAAAATAATTAAATAAAATAATTTACTTAACTAGATGTATAATAAGGTAAAATAGTCCTATCATTAATTTTATAAACTTAAGTATAATTGTTGTGAACTCATTATTTAAAAGTGCTGTTACCAAAACAAGATTATATCTAAAATTTTATGTAATATAACTATGAATATGATCTAATCATTTTATTTTTATTTCTAAAACTATAATGACTCATTATCGAGCTACTCTATGAGAAAAATTAAATTTCTATTAGCTTCCCTTAGTTCTTAAACTATTATCAATTTTCGTTTTTAACCCTATTTTTTTTATCTTTAAGTTTGATCGAATAAATAATTTTTTTTTTTTATTAAATTTTAAGTGAGTTAAGAGTCTTTTGAGTTTAATGGAGATGAAAAAATAATCATTTTATTTATAAATCGATAAGTGCTCCTGGTTCTTAGCATTACAATGGACGGCTGTAAGAGCATAGGTACATTATAGATGTAAAGCATTCGCGTCTCATATAAAAAAAAATGCTTATTTTTTCATATTAAACTTAAAAGAACCTGAACTCACTGAAATTTGAAAAAATATAAAAAATTTCCTTTAAAATTGTTTTATCTTATTTAATCAATCCTGATAGGTAAAATAATAATATTAAAAACCATATAGTTTATAGTTCGAGGAATAAAGGATGGTAGTAAAAATTAAAATTTTCTCATAGAATAGTTCAACATTATTATTGTTGCAAAAGAAAAAATGATCAGTTTTTATATTTTTTAAAATATTTCGTAAAGGCGTAATTAAGGAGACACTCTATATTGAGACAAAAATATAGCGTTTATTAATTTTAAATTATTTTAGTATTCAAATTTGTATTAAATAAATTTAAAAAACGATAAGTAATTGAGGAAAATGATGGCGTTAAAATACATATAGTCACTATTTTGTCAGGTAATGGTTAGTAGAGTTTTTATTTAAATGAATTAATGCTATCATGAATTATTGTATTATTTAGAATAATTACAAATTTATCTGTAAATATTCAAAATAAGCGTTTTATTGTTGCTATTCTTTTAGATAAATTGATCAAGTAACAACCAGTTAAGTTAGGCTGTTAACGTTTATGAATTATTTTTAAACAGTATAATCATGAACATTAATGTTTGATGTAAATTATATAGATGGCGTACATCATTTTCAGTAATTACATTCATAACTTTTAATTATTAAATATTATTTGAGATTACAGACTCGCTGTAACACTTATAATAAAAAAACATCATCAATAGTGGTTTATTCTCATAATTAATTATGACGGGTAAATAATGATTAATTAATAGTTCTTCAAAATAATTGATTTAAGTTCTAGTAAGACCGAAAAATTATGTGGTGAAACATGATTTAATTAGGAACATCAGCAGTTAATTATTTTACATAAAACATGATACAAGTTTATAAATTTAATTAATAACAATAATGCTAGTAATTAAAATTTTGATTCACACATTTTTCATGGAAAAAATAAATATAAAGCGTATGAAATATAATTATAATTTATAACTATTGAAAGAGATGATGAATTTGACACGTGCCACAGCAAAGATATATTGAAGCTTAAGTCGAACCCTTAAAACATAACAACTATTTTCTGAGTAATCGGCAGATTCTTCTTTGGAAGTAGTAAGTCGATAAATCAAAAGTTCGAATCCGAAATGTTCAAACGATATTGCTAATCTGGATAAGAAACAAAATAAATATAATTGTTTGAATTTCTTATTGAGTGAACTAGTTTCTAATTTTCACTTAAATATTTACTACAATAAAAATATTATTATTTTTATATAATGAACCAACTATTTATATAATCTTATATAATAATAAAGATAGAAAAAATGTAAAAATTATTTATCATTTTGTTATATGATTTTGTTCTCAATAATACTATAGCTCGTTGTCTTTGTACATTTTTATGTGATAATAAATAATATAACTTTTTAAAACGCATAATATACTGGTAGCAATCACTTAAGCTATTAATCGATAAACTATCTAAGTATCTACCGCAATGTTTATGTAAAGTTTTAATTACTCTTATAGGATTATTTTATCTTTCTTTTACGTCTCCTTGCCTCTGCATTTATCACTACGTAACCGCAATTTATTTCGTTTTTCGACTTGTTTAAATCGCTTTGAACTATTCAGCACTTTATTTCATTGTTTGTATATCGATTCTTAAGCTATTATAACCTTCATCGTATTTTCTTTGTGTGTACATCCTTCTAAATACCCTACATTTCATTTCATTATTTATTCTTCAGTTATATTATAAACCATGTGTATTTGATGGATTAAAATTATGTTACAAAACCTTTACCTCTATAGCCTTGATTGGTATTCTTTTATTATGTATAACACCCGATGTACATCGCTATATTTCATTTACCTACAGTTTCTTTAAAGTTTTGTATCATTTTCAAAACTACAGTTATTTTTATATATAAATTTTAAACTTTAACGTCAATGTATGCTATAAGCATAAGACTATTATGTTTTACTCCTGACGTGTAGATCAGAAGCTATTGGTATACATTTTTTTCTTTTCCTTTTATTTATTTCTGTTGAGTACGTTAATACTCTAATAGGTACTATTAGAGTATTATTAAAATAATTATTTATTTTCTATTGAACTGTTTTTTTATATAGCCCCTCAACAAATCATGTATTCAATTTTATGTGTAAAAAAAATTTCTTGAAATAGTAAGTTATTCAGTTATGCATTTCCTCCGAACTTATACGTTTATATAAAAGTTCTATGAAAATTACGTCAAAAAAAAAAAAATATGATACTAATAAGTGTAATTACTTAAAATAATGTAGATAAAATTTCATTAAATATGCTTGTGTTTGCTGTGATCAAATAATTAAATAGTGTAATAAAAAAATATTTTTTTTCAGGTGAGTAATTGAAGTATATGGTTGTATATTCAATCTAATAAAATATCATAATATAACATAATATATCAAATGATGTACAAGTAAGATTTTTTTTTAATTAACTCATCAGTAATAGATATTTTATTTTTAACACTTATTACAATTGATATAAAAATGAGCATTCTTATAGTATTAAATGAACGTATTAGAGTTAAAATTAGAAATTGTTGCCTTAAACAATTTTTTTGAAATAATTATACCAGTAAAAAACTACTTTACGCTTTGGAAATGTTGACACTGGTAAAAAATTGGTTAAATAATAGGTTAATTTTGTTGATCGATGTTACATCTACAATTAATTTTATAATAGCCTTACTGCTTAACAATAGATTTTGTGAAGTCGTAGAGAAATAAGATTAATTTATTTTGGTTAAAATTAATTAAATTATCTAAACACATTTT